TCTATGTTTAACTTTTTGAGGTGCTGCCTAACTGCACTCCACAATGGCTATATAATTTGTCATTCTCACTAGTGTCAGGCCTCCACATGCAAGCCCGGACCCAGAAAGTCTGAAGTCCCGCCAGCCTTGGCTGATTACCACCCACAACCCTGCATTCGCCATTATCCCTGATCGCCCAGTGGGCCCAGCGGAGCTTCCCGTCCCCACCATCATTAAGCTTCCCTTCACCGCACCCTGCCATCTTAAGTATACTTGCTTTGTGAATATCCCTCCGCCCCACCTTACCATCTTAACTACTCTTATGCCGTACCCCACCCACCATTGTAAGTGAACTTATGGTAATGTAGACTCCTTGCCCCTACCCCCACCACTGTAACTGATCTTACTCCATAACACCCAAAAGATTTGCCCCAACCTATAAAACCAACTCCTATCCCACCGCCCTTCGCTAACACGCTTTTTGGCCTTAGCCCACCCGCACCCAGGTGAATAAACAGCCATGTTGCTCACACAAAGCCTGTTTGGGGGTCTCTTCATTCAAAGCGTGCATTTTTAACAACTAGCAGTATACGCGAGCTCCAATTTCTTCACATCCTCGACAACACTTGTTATTGTCTTTTTCCTTGTAGCCATTTTAGTGGGTGTAAAGTGGTATCATATTGTGGTTTTGATTTGTGTTTCCCTAATTGCTCCTTTTTTTATGTTATCACTAACATTTTACCATTTAATAATATGCTCTGAGGCCTGACATCTTGTGAACAAGAACCCCATGGAATGGGAGAGTCATGAGCTTTAGGGACAGATAGTCTCAGGTTTGAACCCCTCTGCTTCTACTAGTTATATTAGCTGGAGCAAGTTACTTAACTCTCTGAGTCTCAGTTTCCCCATTTATTTTATGTGAGTTATAATATGAACCGCTCTTGGTGTTGCTGTTATTATAAGATAAATCTATAATAAAGCCCCTGAGTGAGCCTGGCACAAACAAGTCCTCAATGAATCTCACCAATGAATGTAAGAGTCGGAAGGGAGATTTCTAGTCTGGGAGGAGACCTAGGCTGGGGACTGTTTAGTTTTTTGTTGTT